TGAGCTATCCTGCCTGCACTACTGCAAACTAAAACGGGTTACTTAGAGGCGCCCGTATGCTGCCTATAATGCCTTCGAAGCGTGTTAGAAGCGTGTTACAAGCTTGCTACCCCTTGGTAGCTCCACTACCTACCCCCAAATGGAACGGATTGGATGGTGCCACCTAGCCACCATACTTGACAACAGCCGTATCTTCTCCTTCTTCTTCTTGTTCGTTCTTCCTTCTTCTGGTCTTGCGTCTTCTTTTTTCCTGCTCTTTGTTTGTTTCTTATTTTTCCTGCTTGCTTATCCTGTTATGAAGAATCCTAGCGCCAATCTAGCGCTGCCTTACTGTATCACCATAGTCTGCCAGTCAGCTGCTTATTTTTCCTGCTTGCTTGTCTTCTTCTTGTTGTGCATTAATCTTCTTCTTCTCCTTCTTTGTCTTCTTGTTTGTTCTTCGTTTTTCTGGTCTTGTATCTTCTTTTTTCCTTCTCTCTGCTCTCTGCTTGTTTCTTCTTTTTCCTGCTTGCTTATCCTAATATGAAGAAACCTAGCGCCAATCTAGCGCTGCCTTGCTGTGTCACCATAGTCTGCCGGGGGGCCCGCTTCTAAACGAAGATTTTGCACTTCTATTAGTTTCTTATAAATTAATTCTTACTTATCACTTGCTACTTAATGCCTAGACCACATTCATCAACAGAACCTCAGACTCAGACCTCAGATTCTGTGATTCCCTGAGCAGCTCAGCTCAGCCAACTGATTTAGTAAATGTGTTGTCAAGTTGTCTTTTCTCATTTTCTTCTTTGCGCCTTCTCTTTCCTGTTCCTTCTCTTATGTGTCATTATGTTTTTGGATTCTCATTTCATGGAGACAGGAGACATGGAGAATATGCATTTAGCCTCATTACAATCAACTGAACCTGGTCCATATGAGTTTATAGAGAGGTGTGTGTGACCTGCAAAAGTTTGACGCCTGGTTTGTGCTTTATACACCTGGATACCGTGAACCTGGGTTCTGATTTCATGTAGAATGTACAATGTAGTTTGATGTTAATCAGCTGAAACTGGTCCACATTCCCACCTTGTGTTCCGCCATGGCGTTTGCGACCCTAAGTTTAGTACTTCACTAAGATTCCACTGCCTTCATTTCATGAGCATTGTTCATCTTGCTTGATTCCCGTTCTTTTTGAACTTTTTTGACTCAGTGTGTAAAAGTGAATTTCACAGACTTACACCAAACACCTGACTTTTTTTAAAAGAAACCCTAGTGGCACCCAGGCGTCTGAACACCCTAAAACAATAATATTTAATTTCATTCGCGAAATTTGTCATACTTTTCCCCCTTCTTGCTTAACCCTGTCAAAGGCACACCAAACTTTATCCACTTCTTTTCCACGAATTTTCAATATATATTCCTCCCGTTTTCTTTTCAAGTTTCTCTCAGGAAAGCCGGTTCAAAATCAAGCACTTACCTTTTCTCACCATGCATGGTTGGATTCGTGGCTGTGCTTGGGCGTATACATTGCCCGAGTGAAACGTATCTTGAACAGCTTCTTGCTTCACTGTTTCTTCACCCGCTGTGTGCACAACCTGCTGGACAAGAGTGTCAACGCAGTGTCAAGTCTCATATCTTGTGAGTGATGCACGGTCATGCCACAGCGACATCCACTCTACATTTACTCCAAAGATGGAATTCGGTGAAACTATTGGGAACCCTTGCTCTCAATTGGCTTCACCTCAGCCACAGAAGGGCAAGACAAGTGGAACGCTAGGCGTAACGCTGCTGAGAAAAGCACTCACG